CTAAAATAGAAGCTTACTTATCACACTGCTGTCAGACACATTGTGTGCTTTGATATTACGCAGCAACGCTTCAAGAAGACACGTGTAAACTCCATCATCTCTAGTCCCAATATCTCTGATAATGAGAGGTCTAAGGCGATCTTGTGGATTATCGGGATCTGGATTTCGAACTGATTCTACTAACATCCCATTCTTGAACCATGAAATCCTCTTCACTGTTGTTCTACTTGCCTGCGAGCCTTTAGTCACGCTGCAAATGATCGTTATGTTCTGTCCATGCCGTAGCAGACCGAATTTCGATACAGCCACAGAAGGGATCTCGTCTTCTAAAGAGATATCAAAGGCACTCTAAACTACAACCTCAAGAAAATTGATGTTTGAAATCGTAAGGCTATGTCCTAAATTTCCACCTGTAACAAGGTTATCAATCATTTGAACTAGTTTAACTGTTCATTTTCTGCAAGAAGCAGTCGACATATATTTGATCATACTTAAAAGAAATCTCACCTTGACAAACTATATTTAAGCTAGTAGAGACAGCCAATAAGTCGTCTCACAAGATCCACAACTTGTTCTAAACTAGACCAATTGCTGGTTTCCAGTGTCACGCCATTCAAAATAGATAAAAATCAAAATCAAAACCATTCGATAGATAAAGTCCAGAATCTGGGAAATGAAAGGAGGTAAATATACAAAGACCCTCGCCAAGATTTAAGTCGAAGGAATGATTCGTGTGCGAGATAAGTTATTTACCCAAATTTATAGAGATTTGTATGGAGACGCCATGCTGGTGCCCACCCGGATAAGCACCAACATGGCGGACGGAAACCAGCCGAAATATCTGTTAAAAAGTGTTAATTTACTCCTAGAGGAACTCATAAACATTAAAGTAATACTTTTTCTAATACATGAACTGTTTAGAGAGCAAAATTCCCCCAAAAATTCACTTTTTTAACCTACATGACAGCTCTCTTGGCGGTCATGTAAATTCTCAGTCAATTCAAGCGTGCTTTATTACAAAACCAAGAACTCTTTTGAAGCAAAAATTTTTTGAACATTAGTTCTCAGCTTCTCTAATACAACATGAAAGTAAAATCTCAGTAGCATTGATAGTTTCGTAGTTTGAATTTTAGTTACGTCATGTGAAAACCAACAGTACAACTTGTAAACCTCGTTTAACTCTATTAGCGCCATAGAAACCTGTGAGATCATGAGATCAAAAAGAAAAAGAACTTCTGATCGCTGGTTAAAGAAAACTCTTCTCCTTTCTGAAAATCATATACTTTTGGGACTTTTTTAGAAACAAATTCTATCTGGGGTAGCAAACTTCTAATTATAGGGGTAAGCTGCTAACACTCAGTGACTGCTCCACCACTGCTCAACGAGAATGACTTACTTCCAATGACATTGACACTAAATCCATGTTTTTTCTCCACAGGGTCACCAACTGCAAAAGCGTGACACTCGTACCTTCCCAGTGGACCAAAGGTACTGTCATCATTCAGTGAAACATTCTTAATAATCATGGTTACAGAGAGCTTTTGATTGCCTTTTGATAAAGGGATGTAAGAGTTAAGTATTAGGCATGTATATTAAAAGTTCCCACAAATAACAAATATAGTACACCACAGTAAGTCGCACCATTGCAGTTTTTTTAACCGTCTCGCAAATAAATTGATGATGTCTATCAAGACAATCCTTGCAACTAGACATGCACAGAGTCGAGCCAGAAAAAAACAACGTCTTGGCCCGGGTGAAAGCTCACCTGCAGTTTTGCTCTCACCTAATTCATTTGACTCCTAAGAGCCTATTACCGAGGCCAGAGACTTAGTGGTCACCTTAGAAAAGCGAACAAAATCGTATCTTTCTGTCTCAGCCCGGATCACGGTGATTGATCCGTTTAGCCAAATGAAACGAGAATATAATACGATATTGGACGATGCAGACTCTACGAATCGTGATAACTTTGTCCCATCTCAGAGCTTTACATGATGCTCTCCGGGAAACTTTTCTCAAGCTGACCAATATCTAAAACTAAACTGCTAAACCGCACCGAGACCAGCTTTAGGCGCGCACTGATTTCAAATAACTGTCACTTGTGTTAAACAAAGAATAGCGTCTTTACAGTGCACGATGAAGGCAATGAAACGCTAGAATCGGGCACTTGTTTCAGTCCGTCAACTGCACAAACCATGACAGCATAATTTATGACGGAAAGGGACGCGAAGTGTAGCTGGTGCAGTGTATTGGGCGGCAGGGGAGGGGGGTAACAACGGAAGCTTTGGTACTTGATCCTCCAAACTCCGTAAGAGCCGAATGCTTAGGGACCGGTCATTATTTGTCGCCTGGGGAGGGAAGAGGGGCGGGGTGGAGGTTTTTAGGGCTAAACAAGGTGAAATTTAGCAGATTCTCCCTTTGAATGTTACTTCACTGAAGTGATCCCCCCTAATAACTTTTGATGACTTTCGCGACCCCCATTCCATGTCTTCATTTTCCAAGCAAATTTGAGTGGTTCCCCCTCCCCTCTGAATCACGGCTGAATTAGGGCTGATCGACCCTTTTGTTCTCCCAAAAATCAAGTGATCCCCCCTAGAATCCTACGCCCCCCCCCCCCCCCAAGGTGATAAACAATGAGCGGTCCCTTAACGGTAAATTAACCTGCAACTTTAGCTTCTTCACGCCCGAGAAAATAGATTACCATTTTACAGCTTGAAAAGTCGAAAACCGATGGCCTCCTTGCCAAAAGCGTTACAAAAATTTGTTGCAAGCCAATCTTAGTTCAGCTTTCAGACAGCGATCGACACACTGGGGTTAAATCGTTTTTGTTTTGTTTTCTCAACAAACTGTATACATAATTTTAGCTTGCTAATAAAAGGCGTGTCTTTATGAAAGAAACAATAAGTTACGTTTAGTCCATGAGCGTTGACGTCGTACAAGGGCGGAAGTGGTGAAGGGCTTCCAGCTATCGGTATTCCCTGTTAACAGAGGCCTCTTTTCCTGGGTACTGAGTGGGCGGGAGGAAAAGTAGTAGGTTTAGAGTTTTTGCGACGCAGGCTAAGAGAGTAATGACAATTGGGCCGGGTTGTTTAATGTTGGGTTAAGGTAACCTAGGGTTAGCGCGAATTTTGCACTCAGATATGTGGGCTTAAAAAGCAAATTCAGTTTAATTCTCTTTACCTACAATTTTATGATAGCTTACGCTAAAAAGAACTGTTCCGCAGTTTTTCTTTTTCAATTCCTTTATCCTCGCATATTAGAGTTCCAGTTATTTTCTTCTCTTCCAGACCCGACACCCATGAACGTTCTATTTTCCCCGATATGTCGTCTTCAGGTAGCTTCCCCGTCAATTTTTAGTTCTGACTTAGAACTTTTTTTGGAAATTGAAAGGATTGAAATAAAACCAACAAAAGAGTTATCCGTTTAATGCAAACTAGAAGTAAAATCAATGTGGCATAGCAAAGGAGTGCTTAATCATTGTTATTATTCGTTCAAAATATTTCCCCGATTCTGATTGGCTAAAAGCACACGCATAATTCACCATAACAAGCTACTGATGACCAAATTTGGAAGAATTTTGCATTTAATGAACCGATGACGTCAAAAGTGCAGCCTTCTAGCAGCTTAATGCACCGTTAACCGAGAAGACCTGGGGACAAGGTTGAGTTGTTTTGTTTTTTAAAACAAAAAATGGCGGACATTTCACTCGTTTCAAGAGTAAGAACTAGGCGAAATTATTGCTAAAAACATGGCAAGAACAGCAAGAACACAACTCGAAGGGCGACATCTGCTATTTGGAGAATATTTGCGGAGCTGAACAACCCTAAACGTGCACTATTGAAGATGAACTTAACATCGATGGAGGTAAGCATGTTTTAGCTAATAATTTAAAACTAGGAATGAATGAATAATAAAACAGTTATTGAATTCGGCTTTCGTATCATACGAAGAATTATGGAGACCGAGGAGGGTGTTATCCGTCGAGGCCGTGCTCAGCCTCGTTCATTAATTGTTAATTATTGCAAATGATTTTCGTTTTACTGCCATAGCTACAGATTTTATAAAAAAAACACAACAAACGTCAACATTTCAAATAAATAGTTTCCGTTCAGTGGTTACATCGGCATTCCTAATGCTACAAATCGGCGTTCCAGCCGGAACTTAAAAAGATATGTATCAGCATTATGATTATGTGCATCTATGCACTTTCATTGCGGTCAAAAGCTAAGCAAAGCACTTCAATGCTAGGTTGCAGTGAAACCACTTGCTTGCGGCTTGTGGTTCCACTTGGGGTTTGAACATTTTGACGTCATTGGCTGATGTAGACCGCTATTGCACAAGTGATTACAAAATACAGACAGCGGCAAAGATAACAAGTAAACTATTTACAAAATTCAATTAACATAAAGCTAAAATGTATTTTAAAAAGATACAATTCTAAACATTTCAATGTAAGATAAACCTAAAAATATATTTAAAACAGCAGCCTCCTTATCAGTAAAAGAAAAATCCTCCAAGTAAGTCTTTGATTTTCTCAAAGACTTCTTAAACTTTAAGTTTCTTTCCAGATAAATACAAAACAAAACAAAAAAATTCAAGCCTACACCAACGACGGGAACTTTCAACACAAAATGCCTCTTTGCTCATGAGGACCACTGAAAATTAAAGGGTAGGAAAGCTTTTTGAAAAGCGACTGATTTTTTATATTTTTGGCAAGCCAACACTGTATTATGTCTCTGCACCTAACAATTAACCTAAGAAACCTATTTACAGTGATTAACCTTCAGGTTTTTAAAACATCAGCACCTGAAGTTTTCTGTAGCTGTTTGTTCATCCCTCGCGCGCATTTTGAGACAAGTTTAGTGATGTTCAGTTACTATGGTTACGAGATATGACGTCATAAGTAGCAGGTGGTCAAGCCATTTTACAGTGAAAATGTTTGTTTTTTCAACTTTTTGAGGAATAAAAGTAAAGTTTGTGGAATAAAATGATGCAAAGTAATTATTTGTGTTATTTTACGTGTTAAACGCCAAAAATTATTTATTCTCGCCTTTTTTAATCTGATTTTTAATTCTTTATAAATTTCAAGATGGCGACCATGTCTGGTGACGTCACAGACCTCCAGCAGAGATTCACGATTACCCTACAAAACACTCTTTTCAGGTTATTGAACCTTCACAGACAAATGAGGATACAGAGCTACCACACCATGTACTGAATACAAACGAAGCTGCTATGAGATCCCCCGTTTTTGGTCGAAAATATCTGAAAATACTTAAGCAAAAATATAGTGGAGCAACACGCCGATGACATAAAGAATACAAAAGAACCGCTATGTGAGTGGTGTCCAGTTTCCTTCCGGTAGCTCCGCATGTCTTATGAATGCAGAGAACCATCGTACTCTTCTTCAACTTGACGTCATGGCTACTTCGTCAGGAAATTCATAATCGCACTGCAAGAAAACCGCGTCATTTAAAAATGACTATTGCCCTTTAATTTAGGTACATGCATAGATAAATGAGTAAATGGCATATCGTAAATGACCCGATAAACGCCCAGATCGTCTATTTAGTTTTAGGGGTCTTAGCGGGGGCGTTTAATAGGTAAGGGGTGTTTAAAAGAGAGAGGCGTTTATTCTAATAATTGCAACAAGCTCAACAAAACTAATATGCTTTCGGCGAAAATATCAAGAGAGTTTTAAAATAGCGGAATATCTATGCTCCAGAAGTTGATGAGTCGAGGCCGTCTAAAGATCTGCATCGCCCTTTCAAATACCAACATCGATGTCAGCAGCCTCGCTCAGGCTTATTGTGTCGATATCCGTTAGTCTATCCTTACTTTAAACTTGACATTGAACAAGATGAAATACACAAAGCCTTGAAAATCAAGCAAGAAACTGAATGAACTGAATAATTTTGCTCCTTTTTGCTAATTCCTAGTATTTTTGAGTAATTCTCATAGGGGGCGTCTATTAGACTGGGAGCGTTTATTAGAGAGGGGCGTCCAATAACATTTTAACAGGGTAAAGGGGGTGCTTTTTAGATAAGAGGCGTTTATAAGGTCATTTATGTACGGTGAACAATGCATTGTTCAGGAACGTTTACGCAACCAAGCCGTGGCTTACAGCAGCAATAACTTTATCAGAACGGAAGCGAAGTGTTTTCGCAAAACTGGAATATACAGCCAGACCAACTAATATGTCCGGCTAAATGTTATAGGTAAAAATATCGAGAACAGACTAATTTTTCACTTTCAAACTTAAACTGACTTGTCCAGCTGGCCGACCAGACTTTTGGAAAGCGGAAGTTATTGCCAAAGGCCCCTAAATAGCTGTCTGTCAGAATTATATCTTAGAAACACGTTTTAATCATTTTCTTCACTTGTTACAACAGTGTACCAAGTTTCATAAAAAATATGTTATGTTATTTTAGTAAGGAGTCATGTCAATAATTCTTCCCAATTAATAAAAGCCACACATTCCTAAGTAATAAGCGAAAGTTGCATAGTATTATGACTGTAATTGTAGTGTAAGTTACCATACCTTAGAATTATCGATGCTAACAAACATCCTTTGTAGATGCTAGAAAAACAAAATAGATCATCAGACTATTATTAGGCGTTATTCAATTTCAATTGCATCACAGTCTCTTTCTTTAACATTTGTCCGTGTGATCCTTGTTTGACCAAAATTTTGAACAACCTTAGGGACCGGTCATTATTTATCTCTGGAGGGGAGTGAGGGGGGCGAAGGATTTGGGGGGGATTACATGATTTTTAGGAAAACAGGGGGGGGTCAGTCGTAACTGAGAACCCAAAAGGGGGGATCGCTGAAAACTTTGGAAGGATTCAGAAGGGGGCGTCGCGAAAGTCATCAAATGCTATTAGGGGGGATCACTTTAGTGAAGTAACTTTCAAAGGGGGGATCGGCTGAATTTCACGTTATTTAGCACCCCCCCCCATCGTTTCCGCAGGCGATAAATAATGACCGGTCGCTTAGTTTGATATGCATCACGGAGGCGGGCGTCGAGGCTTTTAGCCCCATCCACCCCAATAGGAAGGGATTTCATACTCTTCCCGAGGTAACACTTGGAAACCAAGCTGGTTGCGCGTTACAGTAAGCGCTCGAACCAGACGATCTTACCGAAAAAAGCAGGTGTATAAATTAAAGTCTATTTCAGATTATTTGCCTTTTATAATACAAAGTGAGGGGACTGAGAGAAATAACCTGCTTACAGGACGTTTGCAAATCCCCTATGAAGATTATTGGTTTCTTTTTTTTTCCTTTTTTAAATGTTGTGACCATTCAAAAGTGGTCAGGGCACTTCTCACTCTCTTGGGTCAAAGCTCAACAGGCCATTCGCACTAAGTGGTCATGTGACATCGTTTTTATGAAAATGAAAGTTATATGATTTTGCCTTCGAAAACCGATTAGTTGGTCACATCTAAAACAAAATAATAGTGATTTGGTTTTTCAAACCCGCACCATTTTCTTAAAATGATTAAGTTCGTAGCTGGTCACGTGACCAAAATGTGATTATTATAATTATGAATTACCTCTTTATGAAAACAAATTTTGCACTTAAACTTCAAGGAAAATGTTGAAAAGATGATGTGGTAACGTTTACAGCACATTTGAGCGTAACTATCAAACGTTTAAGAAGATATAAGCAAAAAGTAGTTTTGGTCGCCATATTGGAGGGCAAGAGTATGCCCTCCAACATGGTGGCCAATACAAATCATACTACTTTGTTGCCATAAAATATCTCACTTAAATGCGTTTCGTCTCAAATTTCGGGTGTAAGACAATTTTTATGTGCTCTGTCAAGTTTTGGCATCAGCAAGATTCCAACTTATTGTTTAAAGGTAACATGTTGACGTGACCTCTTAGTGCAAGTGGCCTACTGAAGAAACGACAAATAGACAATGAATTTTCTTAAGTGGTCAGGAGTTAAAGGATTGGACAAGCGAGGTGGGGTCAATTACAGAAGCGAAGAAGCATTTGAAAAACAGCATCCTACCTGCCATTCTCGGAACCACCTAAAGGGGAGCAAAAAAGGAAAAAAAAGTGAGCTGTTATCGACTTTCAATAGCACCAAAAATATTTTCAAATTTACCTATTTATTTTTAGCGGGTGGGGGTGGACTATAAAGGAAAAGTGCACGTACTTAAGGCCGGGGTATCATGGGTCTGCCTTTTATGAAAAACGAATTATTTACCATAACGTCCGCAAAAAAGACAATCGAAAATTAGTTTCAGGCCGGGGTTTCGCGATTGAATGAATAACAAATGCTAGACTTCTTTCTCAGCTGGTGGGGGTTTTTCTCATAATTTATGTGTTTTACGATCATTTTCTCAAAGACATTTCATGTCATAATTTTTATAATTTTTGGCCGCGTTTCATTGTGTTTCCGATGAAACTTCATTTTCTATCATTTTATTAAAGACTTAAACCATGTTATTCGGGTACCATTACATCATATTTTAGACATACTGAGATACACTCACTGAAAAGCTGTCGCAATCCTTCATACTCAAATGAGTTGTAGCCAATCAGGGGACCGTTCACTCAGCCGATTTCTGATACGTCAACAACTCTGCGTAAATATCGCATACGCACACTCCATGAAGTATTCTATATATAGTGTATCATATTTTGTTCAGCTCATGAATGTTCCATCTCTGAGCATCAACCAGGACTATAGCGGTATGACAGACCTTACGCTTCATTCAAGTACCAATATTTCGTTTATAATAATCAGATAAAAATAATGAAATTGCAGTTATACTTGAACTGAGAACAAATTGTTGGCAGTTATCTTGGATATTGCCCGAGCAGTTAGACGGAAGGCAACAGTAGTAAGATCCAACATCAGTGTACCGCACATCAGATACAGTCAACACATAAGGTTCGTAAATTCCGCTGCGATGAACATGGTAATTTCCATCTGAGCCATCTTAAGGGAAAAGAAAACAAAGTGAAAGCTCTGACAATTTGCAACACACAAAATGTACACTCCCGCAATTTTAACACACAACATTTTGAGGCCCACATGAAATTTTCAAAATGCTGAAAGCAAGGGGTTTAATTTGGTTGTCGAATGTTCATTTCCCATTTTTCTTAAAACAAATAGTTTTCTAGGCATTGTGCAAGTACAGTTAACAAGAAAGATTGCAGCTAATTAGGCTTTACCCAGAATAAATGTACAACTACATAAATTTCTCTAATTTTATAAAAAATATGATCTCACTTATGCAGGACCGTACGAAGTCCTCGCTATCCTTCTGAAGCTTCCATTCAACATGAAGCGGAAATCCCTGGGCCGCGCACTCAAGAGAAACGTCTTGCCCTTCCACAATGGTAACTTCAGTAACTTCCGTTGGCTTGTCGAACCACGGGGCAACTGTTGGAAATCAGGAAAACAATACTGACGCTATTAGGTCAAGTTGATTATAAAAAGTTTTAAAAGGATAGTTGTTCCATGCACTTAGAAATAGTTAAGTGATGTAATGCTTATCTGTTAGGTCGGCTCATACTGGTACGACACACGTCTTGTAGCGTCTCTATAAGTAGCATAAATGCTCTAACATATTATATAGCAATAGGCTCTTGAGTATAGTTAGTATTATTCTTCATAATTATATTTCTTTTAGTTGTCTGTATTCAGTAGAAATGAACTGGTTGTTATTTGTCGTTGTCGTTAAGGTCAGTGACTTAAAATTTTTGGAAGTATAAAGACAAAAATTGCAGTCTCCTCAAAGATTCTTACAATTTCCCAAAACAAGAGACTTGACATGATATTTTAGTCACCAAATAATGGTAGCCTAGGAGGCAAGCGTTTTGAAAAAGACGAGAGGAGGAAAAATCAGAGCCACCAAGTTAGTCACTCTGGCTAACAAGGGACTGCAACCGAGCGTCAGACCCAGGATCGGATCGGAAAGGTAATATAATCAAAGTTTGCATGTCTTCTATATTGCACTGATTATCGCAACTATAATTTAAAAAAATCTGTTTATGCTACATTTTGGTCTTACTGGCTATGCAAGGCATAACGAAGTCCTCTCCTTGCCTCTGAGACTTTTATTCAACATGAAGGGGAAACCCTTGGGCCCCACACTCAAGTGAAGCATTTTCTCCTTTTGTAATCGTAAGGTTAACAATTTGCATTGGCTTGTTGAACCCTGCGGAGTGGTAAATGGAGTGGCGATTTGACATTTTTCAAAAAATTGCCGTCAAATTCCCTGCCCACGGGCAGATCATTCCGGTCAATTGCAACCAACTTTCGCCACCCAGGGGTGACATTGCTGTCCATCCCAAGGCTGGACCCAAGAAAGGCACAACAGAAATATCTCCAAATAAAACTCTGCAATCTTTATTTATAAACGTTGCTGCATCACCAAAGATACATGTTCTTATTACAGTTGCGATTAAAACTTTTTAACAATTCAGTCCGTGTTTTAACACACTGCATAGAATACAGAAACCTTTAGGAGAAAGTCCACATTTTGTAAGTTTGAATATACCGTTCTTAGTAAAGGGTACAAAGAAAGTCTGTTTCATAAGCTTTATACAGTGATTGTAGCGAATGTCAGCCACACAATGATCAATTGCACTTGCAAAAATCGACTTGGTTTCTCTTTCCTTCCGTTTACTTTGATACCACAGTATCTTGAAAGGTTCAATTGATCAATACAACTCACTTTGGCTTGTTCTCGTTGGCTTCCACGATTTCCATATCTTTCCAGACCGTACGTCGCATGCGTGAAGCGTGGCTGTTCGATCTCAGTCTCTTTCGTCCGAGTCAGCAGTCAAATATCCCCACGTCGGTCCCACGCAGGGCGAAGAAAGATTCAAAGTTCCCTCTCCCGGTAGAACAAGATCGGTCTAGTGCCCTACCCCAGGGCCAAGAAAGACCCGCCAAATCCCCACCCCATGACCTGCGTCCCCCCCCCTCCCACGCCGGCTTTACATTGATAAGTGCATCAGTGGGATTCGGATTCCTTGCGTTGTATTCCGGATTCCAAAGCAAATGATTCAGGAGTCCACAAGCAAAAATTTCACGGATTCCGGAATCCAGCATCTTCGGAGACCCAGGGGCAGATAAAAGAGGCGAGGGAAAGTCTAAACGGGTGGAAAAATATATATGGAACGAAGAAAAGTAAAGAACGGCGAGAAGAGCCCCTGGGGACAACGTCTTACCAGACCAGTTCCAAACGGTCGCCGCCGTTCTGGCTTCTGATTGATGCCAGAAAAACACAAGTTTTCTGGCACCAATCAGAAGCCAGAACGACGGAGACCGTTTGGAACTAGTGTGGTAAGACATTGTCCCCAGGAGCTCTTCTCGCCGTTCTTTACTTTTCTTCGTGCCACATTTTTCCGCCCGTTTAGACTTTCCCTCGTCCCCACTTTCTGCCCCTGGGTCTCCGAGGATGGGAATCCAGATGCCCTTACATGGGGCGAAAGGATACATGTAATGCCGCTGCCAAGGAACAAACTATTTTATTGCCTGACAAAACATTCCAAATCCTCTTGAAGCATCTTTGAAGTTTGGTGAGACTTGAGAAAATTTTGGTAAGTGAAAAAAATCGTTCGCACTAGGAAAGGCTTATCTTTTGACGACTTTTTTGACTAAGTTCTGTAATAAAAGCCCTAAATACTGAAAAATTAATGTACGTAAGGACAGTAATAACAGCTTGTACCCTAAAATTTGTTTTTATCAACTGAGTTAATAAAGTCAATTCATTTACCACTGTAAAAAGATTTAAAAGTTTTACAGGCTAGCTATGCCTGCGAGTACAGCCATCTTTCCTCACTACTCACTGCCACGCACTGCTACAGTCACGAATTAAGTGTTATGCAGGAGAGAAGGTCTTCACCTTGAGCAATGACCAAAATGCCATACTGGCGATGTAAATCAATGTTTATATACATGTACATTGTATAACAGAATATATAACATTATTTATCTAGTAGTCATGGGGTTCCAAATGTACATTTGCCTCAGTTTATGTTTCTCCTGGACTATTATTGCAAAGTTTTGGCTTCTTCTGCAAAACTTTGTTCTTTGCGACCTTTTGTCTATTGTCTGTCATTAGTAAACAATAGCTACATCACATGTACTACGTACATGTGAAGACTGATGCAGACACTATATCAACTAATCAGAAATCCTAAACAGATTCCAGACAGACTTTACGTCATCAGTATGGAATCTCTGTCGTTGAGGGACGGACATCTCTCCTGTGGAATGTCCAACTAGCAGGGGAAAACGAGGGGAGATGGCTGTAATCGCAGTCAAGAACTAACCCTCCATCAGAGTCAGTCTACAGTGCACTTACTTTTAACCATGGTGCTATCAGACACATTGTACATTCTGATATTGCGGAGCGCCACTTCCAGAAAGCAGGTGTACTTTCCTCCATCTCTAACACCAATATTTATAAGAACAAGCGGCCTAAGGGTGTCTAATGGCTTATCTGGGTCAGGGTTTCTGATACTTTCCAGCAAAATCCCATCTTTGTACCAAGAAATTCTTTTCAATACTGTTCCTTGAACTGGATTTCTAGTCAGGTTGCATGAGAATGTGGTGTTCTCACCATGTCTCAACACACTGATTTGAGGCACTTTCACTGATGGAATTTCGTCTCCTAAAGAGAAAAAAAGCAAACAAAAAGGGAAGAATGCATGAAGCTATAATTTCTGTCCATTGCCTCTAATACATTATCCATACATGTAGTTCCAGTGGTTGTAAGACCAGGCAAAAGATCCCCCTTTCATGTGCTGTACAGTCAATTTGTGGTGACTCAACAAACAACAAAGCTTGATCACGAAACAGGGCTAGACACTGTAATCAAACTAAACTAAAGAAAATGTATAAAAGACAAAGAATACACAGTTGATTTGGTTGTTTTAATATAAATTCAATGTTTTCTTCAGGTTTTTTTTTGTTTTACACTGTACAGATTTGCTTGTTACATGGATGACGAACACAGGAATCAAAGGGGTTATGTCTCCAAGAAACATGTATTGCTGTCAATTTTGTGCTTAATTCATTACTTACTCTGTCCTCACCCATACACAAAATACTTCTATAGAGATATGAATTAAGAAGATATCAAATAAACCCTATCAGGAACGACCAACCATATTACTACATGTATAATTATTACTATTCTTTGGTGATTTTTGGAAGAGTTACATTCAAACTTAAAAAAATTGCCCCAATTTTTTCAATTCTTTTTTTCCATGTCCATCATTTCCATCCTTCGCAACAGACGACAGAAGGAAACCGTTTTAATGCCTAATGTATGGTCTTAAAAAAGGACCATTATTTTTTGTAATTCAATTGATGCTGAGTCATGTTTTAGCTTTTTAAACACTTAAACAGACAGCAAATAACATGACCATCCATTTTCTCCTAACAATAATTATCAATACAAAAGGTTCTGAGATCAATTACTGTAATAAAAACATAATGTTTTGGTCTTTCTTCAACTCTCAAATTATAATTCTTTAGAGAAATGCATAGAGACCAGTTTGGAGAATTTGTATGTGGCATGCAACCAGGACAAGCAATGGGCCGTTTAGACATTGGCTCGTCTGCACCTTTACCTCCGTTTTTATTGGGACTTAGGCCCAGTGCAAACATCGAATTTCACAAGTGTCAAATTTAATTTGTGGATTAACCGCATGTGAGACGCGACGTCTGAATCAATTAAATTTGGCAGTTTAAAATTGAATACGAATCTGTGACTGAAAGAGTCAAAGATTCAACTTAGGTAAGACATTTGATTCAGACGTCATATTTCACATGTGCCGGATATATGAACGATCAACTTTATAGCCTTTATAGCCTTTATTGCTGCGGAGCGACCGAAGGGAGCGAGCAGCAACATAATCAGGATTTAAAGGAAATATATAAGGGGAGACGAATTCTCGAATTCATCACTTTTTACCACAATGCATTGCATTTAACCACACTTTTTACCACAATGCATTGCATTTAACCAGAGTGCATTGCGCCACGAACAACACAAATAAAAACACGGGGAAGTTCGGTGGGTTAGAGTGCATCGTTCGCTGCTTAGACTTAGAGTTTTCTTTGTGGCAAATTTTCTACAGCACGGTTAGAGGTCTTACCGAATTTTAAGACACGCAGGAGTCTGTCAGATGAGTACGATGGTTAACTTGGGGATTGGATTTCAATTCAAGAGCCTTTGACTCGTCCAGGTGTTAAACCTGACGAGAAGATGAGCATTTGCTCTTCGACTCCGCAACACGGGGGATATACAAATTCCAGCTTGCTAGAAGGTGGTGTGAAAGTGAGAAAATGTCATGCAATGCTATTCTTAAGAAACTGTATGAGCCGAAAATGGATGTGGTTTTGACCATTCGCTTCAAAGTAACAGCGGAAATGATTCGAGATAACAAAACATATGTTTTGTGTCCTACTTTGCAGACGAGCACGTGTATCGGCGTTTTGAAAAGCATAATTATGCTCTTTCATTCATTCATTGCCATGGAAGATGCGTTTAGATTGTTTTTTCACTGTTAATAGCTCGGTTAATGCGGCCGGCGATCCTCCTGCCGGTGGAAGTTTCATGGAAAAGGAATAAAATGATAGACTTTTACTACAGATTACGCAATCAGCCCCTGCGGTGTAGTGGTTAGGTGTAGTCGCGTCGAGTCGAAGGTGCTGGGTTCGAGTCCCACCGAATTATTTATTCCTACTTTCTTTTTTTTCCGTTTCTTTGTGTTGTTGTTTTCTATAAATATATAGCTAAATAACTGTTACTTAATAAAGTGCAACAAACAGCAAGAAAAGTATTGTGTTTCGAGAGAAAATATTGTGCACCGTATACTAAATATATGGATAAACAATCTGAATTTCTATTATTTCCTACTGTGGGAAAACCAGAGTTGATAACCACTTGATCATTTTCTAAACAACGTTCCCACGAGTTCTTTCTATAGACTGATAGTAATTATTCTAGTACTTTTCAACATGTAAATAGGACAGTGAATGTCATTTTTGATTCTTTTAAGTCTCACTGCCTAACTAATGCCAGTATCAACAGAATGTGCCGCAGCATTTGACTATCTTTTAGATACCCTAGTAGCCTTTATAGCCAACACTGTCGGAACCTTGAGTTAGTGTCCTCATTAGCGAGAGTCAATGATAGCGAGAGGTTATTTCAATCAAACATCTATGATTTATTTTTGCCTGGGATTTAGCTGCTGTTCGTACTATGGAGGTGTTCATTATAGCTGGGTGTCCACAAGGCGAGAGTTGCCTGCATAATGCATTAATTAGGGACGGACCATTAGAAAACTTATTGGGGGGCGCACGAAGTACAAAAAAAAATTCGAGCAAGGAAAAATTAAATGAAAAAAAATTCTTGCAAGCCAATTAACCCTAAAAAATATTCATTCTATGGCCTAAAACAAATGCATACAAGGAATTTGATAACGAAAAAAAATTCCTGCGGCTCGAAAATTCCCTCCCCCCATAACTTTTCTAATGGTCCGTCCCTTATAGAAACTATTATCCATACCGAGCGGGGAACAAGTTGTTTTAAGGGCTGGGAATAAATTTCAGCGAATGGAGTTAAATCCGCACCATTAAATCCGACGTCTGAATCAACTGCCGTATTTAACTATATTTTTATTAGTTGACTGAAATAGCAGTTTTACTCGGCACATTTGAACGGGGCCGTTAAGGGATAAAACAAAACACTTGCTGACACCACAACTACTCAAATGCTGGGAACACTTAAAAAAAATGATAACAAAACATTACAAGAAGAATTCAAAACAATTATTCTACCAGCTTCTACCAACTAGAAGATTTATGTCACGTGTTTTAAGGATACAAAATGTACATATAGTCAAATTTTTCTTGGTTTAATAAATGAAATTTTGCCTTTCCTTGGCTTTTCAAATTCATGCGTTAGTCTCAAGATTCTTTATTTTCCAGTTTAAGCTAGTTTACATGTAACTCCATCTTTGGAAATTACCCCCCAAAAAGCCAAAATTTAAAATGTCTGTGTTCTGTTCAAACACTCTCATTTTTGCTCCAGAATGCTGAAAATGCATTCTAAGAGGCTCAGATTTCAAAATTTTCCCAGAAACTGGCGCCTTTGCCGCGAGTTTTTTTCATGTTCCATCTACTCAAAACTTTTGCCATCCATTAAAAATCTTATTGAAAACCCTGGGTTTGGGGAAAGGGGTTTACTAATAATAAACGTTTATGTGGGGAGGCCACGCCTTGAGGTCTGACCCCTTACCGCTTTTTGTACCATTTATGACAGAAAAGCTACATGTACCCCTTTTGCATACCTTCTATTGATGAAAGGTACCCCTTTCACGTACCATACATGTAGTCCAAAACTTTGTAAATGCACTGTCTCAAAAATATCAATAATATACAAAACCAGAACTCGACTTTTTTACAGCCATAAAATGCATCTGTTGGCCCTTTTTTGCTTTTTATAACGGACTAAAATGACAGATTTCCCTTCTCTACAGAAATCTCTACCCAGAAAAAGGCCAGAAAAGTTCCCCGCTAGCTCGAACTGTTTTTCCTTTTCTTTCAGATTTTGAGTTACTGGTGTTTTAGCTCCTGCCAGCTCTAATTCTGTTGTATTTTCGTGGTGCGCCTTATAACCCAGTATCTTCGCGCAACAAAACAAAATTAATTAAAAGCTCTAGCTGCTCATCCTCTTCTTTGTTATCAGTTCTCGATAACTTTTACATCTTCTAAAGCTGGTATTAGAGGACAAACAAATCATTTTGCATTCGAAACAAATCAACTGCGATCTTGCGCTTGTTTCAGACCTTTTATATTTTCTAAAGAAAGCTCCCAAATTTGTTAACCCTCGGAGATACGGGGGGAAGAGGGGGGGGGGGGTGGTTGCCACCCCACTCAGAGGTTCTTTATACTTTTTTCCTAGACAATAAAACATCAGCACCTCACGTTTTCAGTAGCTGTTCGTCTATCCCTCGCCCGCATTTTGAGACAAGTTTGGTGATGGTCAGTAACCATGGTTACGAGATATGACGTACCAAGTAGGAGGTGGTAAAGCCATTTTCGAATGAAAATGTATATTTTTTAACTTTTTTCAACAATAAAAGTAAAACCGGTGGATGACATGTCAGGAACAGAAAATTACCATTTATCGCGATTGTAACCTGATTCCTAATTCTTGGTAAAATCCAAGATGGTTGTCAAGATGATGACCATTGTTTTGTTGATTTCAAAGGCCTCCAGCAGCGCCACTAACCATAAAATATTCTCTATCTTGTTGGAAAGATCAAAGGCTTTCCATTTAAGACAAATCGTTTCGAAATACTGCAAAAACTCTGGGGAGGGGTTCCATCAACCTGCCCCCCCCACCCTTGTACCTGTACCAGGGTTAATAGAGCTGTGTGAGCTCTTCTATCATAGTTATCTTGACAAACAAGGGCTTAACTTTACCATATTTGGCAGTTAATTAACAAAATATT